CCGAAGGCAGAAGCAGCTCCACTGGCAGTCTGGTCTCCACTCCTTGAGGGCGGCTGTGTCCTCCACGCTTCTGCCCACAGTGGCCGCCTAAGTGCAGCACTCAGGAGGGCACTCCTCAGATGCAGCCAGACGCCTTACCCCATGACTCACACACCTTCTCTCCCAGATTAGAAGGGTACAGGAAAAAGGAAAAAGAAGGGACAAGGAAACCAGTCATTTGTAGGTGATGGTTCTCGTGGGGATGGCCAGTGCGGGCGAGTCAGGAGCAGCTCGAATAGCTCCTCTCCCCGCAGAGCAGCCTGAGCACCTGAGAGAGAGCAGGAGGTGCCCAAGGCCATCCTGTCCTGTGTCCCCAGGCAGCTGCTGTGTCCTCCTTTAAGGGAAGGGTTCTAAGGTCTTAAGTTTTTCCTCCGGTGCTTCTGCCTCTTCATGGACCAGGAATTTAAGATTTCTGCCTTGCTTCTGATCTCTGCTACTAGTCAAACCCAGGCAAGTGTACTCTATCTACTGATTCTTTCCTGTGGATAATGTTGTGAACACACCCTGTGGATAAAAGTTCTAGATCTTATCAAGGAAGGTGATAACAGTTTGATTTGGCCTTACACAGAACCTCACGTGGGCTCCCTTACAGCAGAGCCATATACACACAAGTCTCTTCCCCTTTTCTGAAGAAACATTATGTAAAGATTCCCATTCCTGTCTCTCAGCTTCTTGTTGTGGCAGGGTATGGCTGTTTTGCTTTTGTAGTGGCGTAGAACTAGGGGAAAAACTGTTTTTCCTCTATGGAAAGGAAGTATGGCAAGGAGCTGATGGATTTATTTCAGTTCATGATGTAAAACTATTGACTTTTTAAATTTTTTTTTTTAACATTTTTAATTTATTTTTGAGACAGATGGAGCACTAGCCAGAGAGGGGCAGAGAGAGAGGGAGACAGAATCCAAAGCAGGCTCCAGACTCTGAGCTGTCGGCACAGAGCCTGACGCGGGGCTCCAACCCACAAAGATTCTTGACTTTTAAAACTCATTAAAGAGGGGCACCTGGGTGGCTCAGTCAGTTAAGTGTCCAACTTTAGCTCAGGTCATGACCTCACAGTTTTTATGGGTTCAAACCCCGTGTCGGGCTCTGTGCTGACAGCTTGGAGCCTGTTTCAGAGTCTATGTCTCCCTCTCTCTTTGCCTCTCCCCTGCTCGCACTCTTTCAAAAACAAACGTTAAAAAAATTTTTTTTAACTCTTTAAAGAAATATAGGGAATATTTTGTCAATATGAAAGAATCTTCAAGTCTTTCTGCACAAAATGTGTTTCCAGAACCAGTGAATCATTGTCTCTACTTGTCAGGTATTTACTTAAGACTTTTTCCATGTCAAGTAGAGAAACAGGTCTACTATGAAAAAAACATGAGTGTATTACCATAACAAAAAACTTCCACACTTCAGGGGCGCCTGGGTGGCTCAGTCAGTTAAGTGTCTGACTCCTATTTCAGCTTGTGTTGTGATCTCATGGTTCCTGGGATTGAGCCCTGTGTTGTGCATGTGGACCCCCAATGTGGGGCCTGCTTAGGATTCTCTCTGTCTGCCCCTCCCCTGCTCATGAGAGCTCTCTCAAAATAAAAAGAAAAAAGGTACGGGGCCCCTGCGTGGCTCAGTTGGTTAAATGTCCGACTTTGGTTAAGGTCATGATCTCACAGTTCATGAGTTTGTGCCCCGAGTCAGGCTCTGTGCAGATGGCTTGGAATCTGGAGCCTGCTTCAGATTCTGTTTCTCTCTCTGTCCCTCCCCTGCTTGTGTTCATTCTCTTTCTCTCTCTCTCTGTCTCTCTCTCTCAAAAATAAATAAAAACATTAAAAAAGTTGTTGTAGAAGTATATCTAATTAAAAAAGATCTTACATATTTCAGAGGAAATGGTGGTGGTATCATTGACACATTCAGAGCTTTACACTTTAAGCTGGCACCTAGCCTCTGTTCTTAGTATTTTGTTTTTCTGACTAGTTAGTATATTTTCATGGTTCCAAGTAAAAAGAATACATAGCTCACCTCCTGGAGGCATCCACTGTGTCTTGTGTGTGCCATATTCTGTAAGGGACAGAGTGTAAGCTGATAAATGATCACTCTTCACAAGAGCACTATGAGGAAACTAACAAATGTGCCCTTTCTATTTCAGACCCCGTTTAGGTATGTGCCAGTTACAACATAGGAGGTATTTTGTCTGTTCTTCATAGCTGATCTCAAAATCTCTTTTCTGCCTATTTTTTTAGGTGATCATAGAACGATACAAGGGTGAGAAGCAACTTCCTGTACTGGACAAAACCAAGTTCCTTGTACCTGATCACGTCAACATGAGTGAGCTCATCAAGATCATTAGGTATATAATCACTTTTTTCTATTTCTTTGGGTAGCTTTTCATTCTTTATCAGACTTAGATAAATCTTTAGTTTTGTTGTTGTTGTTGTGTTTTGTTTCAAACTTTTATCTTTAGTTTTGATTAAGATCTCCACAAGCTCAATAAAACCTAAAGACATTTCCTTTCTGAGTTCTTCTCTCTTCCGTTGGATCTGCTGTCCTTCTGATTCTTTCACCATAACATCTCGTATAGATGTTGTCTCTTGATCAGAAAAATTACAAGTTTTGTACAGCAAAATTAGTAAAAGAATGCAGACTTGGTACAATGGTAATATAAACTATATTTTGAAGTATTTCTCATACTAGACACTAATGGCTCTTCAGAGAGCATGCTAGTTTAAGACTGGCCTCAGGAATATAGTAAGAATAATCTATCAAGTATTACCACTAATATATCCTTTGTCAGTGTAATCCTAGGAAATGTCCTGTACTTTATGAGAAGCTTTGAGAGTAATCATCAGTAGGCATACATTTTATTTTGCCAGAAGCAGCATGTACAAAATCTTTGTACTTGTGTGTCAGTGGGGGGGTGGGTGAGATTTTCACACATCCCGGGTATTGGTGTTCAGTATCTCTTCACATTATTTTTCTTTCAATAGGAGGCGCTTACAGCTCAACGCTAATCAGGCGTTCTTCCTGTTAGTCAATGGACACAGCATGGTGAGTGTGTCCACGCCGATTTCTGAAGTGTATGAACGTGAGAAGGACGAAGACGGGTTCCTGTATATGGTATATGCCTCTCAGGAGACATTTGGAATCAAAGTGTCTGTGTAAGACTAGAAAAATGCATCTGTTCTAGAATTTTTTTAAGCCCTTACCAAGGAAAAAAAAGGGATATTACCAACCGAGATTGATCCATTCATCCAATCACAGACCATCAAAAACAGTAGTGTTCCTGCCTAGGAGTTGTAGGAAGTTGTTTTGTGCTACAAGCAGAAAAATGGAGCTCCACATGAGCACATTCAGCTTTGGAAAAACCATTATTTAACCTAGGCTGTTTTGTTTTCAAATTTAGAAGTTTAAAAATAAAATACTTTGCATTCTAAGTTGCCAATAAAATAGACCTTCACATTATTCTAATGCTCTTTCCCTATGAGGAACTTGCAACATAAGCATTCAGAGAGAAATTCTTTTCTAGGTTCACAGAACCAGCCAACTTTTTGTAGAAGAGTTTCCACTCGACTGGAGAACTCTCTTTAAGAGGATCTTGGAAAGCATAAGTTGTCAAGCATAGCCCCCTTCCCGCCCGCCCACACTGGCCATAATAGTGGGCAAAAAGCAGGAAAAATTGAGGTGGAGAAGAAAACTCTGAACTGCTGCTCAAGGTTCTCGACTCCTAGTGTAGTGTGCCCCAAGTCCATGCCTGTGCAGTGCCATTGGGTGGGGGGGGGGGGTTTCGTTTGCTTCTCTAGACAGTAAAGCACCACTGCTCAATAAGAACCTTGAATAATTTAAAATTTTGGTCTAGTTTCTCAAAGGGCCCAGGGAAGAAAAATGGGACATTTCTTCTGGTTTGCATATTCTCTGAGAGGTCAAACTGCCATCTGCTTTGGTAGAGAAACAAGCTGTTCAAGCAGTTTTGTTCCTTGGGTCAGTGGTAGAAACTACAGAACGTGGAAACTAAAGCATTAAAATTCAGATGCACTCCCTCTACCTTTCAGCCTAAAGCTGTAGATGATCCATGTTTTATGTTGTGTGTGGCTCTGTTATGAAAAAGTTCCCACATTTTTAAGAGTATTTCAGTTGTCACTGTAGGTCAGAACCGTCCTGGTTCCTCTGCTCAAAGTGCATGTCAGTTGTGAAAAAAACAGTAACAAAGGAGACATACACTCTTCATGGATATTAATGTCAAAAATTAAACATTTTCCGAATTCAACTAGAACCACCAATGCTTCCTCCTACCTGCATGGGCGTACTATTTACTATTTTTGTGGGAGTAACAGAAAGATCACAGTCGACTTTAGACTGTACATGTAACAAGCAGGTTACGTTTCACCTTTGTGTATTTAGACGTGTGTGGAATACCCGGACCTGTTAGTGGAAGTTACTGATTAATGGGGGCGGGGGGGGGGGGGGGGGGAGGAATATTGCTGCATATGGGCGCTTGACTCCCCAGCCTTCCGACCATTCCCACTGCATGCATCTGTCCACGTGGCTAACTTTTAATATGTGTATTTTTACATTATGTAAATTCTTAATCAGCCTGTCTTGTTTAGATTGTACACATCATTATACCTGACATTCTTGTAACTCCTGTGTGATAAGATTCCTAGAAGAAATTCAGCTTTTTAAAAAATACCATGTGGGAAGGGCGCGACTTCTACCCCACATTAGTGGGTGGTCACTATAGGATCTCTAAGCCAAGTACATTTTTAATGAACTAAGGTGAATAAAGGCACAACTAAAACCCGTCGCCGAGTTCAGTTTAATGGATCGGTATCCGATACTTGCAGTGGTATAGCGTCCGCGCTATCCCATGCCAGGCGGGGAATTTCCTTCCTAACGGCACCAAGGCTGGTTTCGCTGCGGGGGGGGGGG